AGTACTACAGCAAATCATTTCTAGGGTTTCTCTTTTTTAAATCCAAATCAAGTAATATCCTGCATCCATTTTTGCCTCTCGAAAATCACTAGAAAATCATTCATCTCATATACCTCAGTATTTCCACATAACAGAACCAGAGAAACAAGTGACCAATGAGTAATCCCTGATTGTCCTAGCTTGGGGTCATCCGAGCGTCTTTATCAGCCAGGACATCATCAGAGGCACCATGTGCACTATGATCATTTGCAACCTGAGGATGGCATTTCAGTATCYGTGACAAATTTCAAAGTGACACCACCTTGCCAAGAAAACAAAATCTCTCACTCTGCTACCACAACTCCCCATCTTAGACTGTTAGAACTCCCTCTATAGCTCTCTATAATATAATATTTAATCTCTGTCCTCCTGCGCTTGGCTGAGCAATGACATAGTTGTCTTTGGATGTGGATCGTGCAAGACTGCAAAAACACTGAGCAATAAGGAATCCTTAGAATTTAAAGCGAAAGACAACAAATGCACATGGACAGGTGATAAGGAAAATAGCTTAGACATGAGAGTAGTGGGGAATGCTGATGACATGACTATTGCACATCAGTTTTCCTCTCAAATACTCCTTTTTTTTTTAAAAAAAAAATCTCACTACTCAGCAATAAAGGTTACAAATGGAAACATAACGCTGTGTGTTTGCTTACCTTTTCAATTCACATGGGATTCTAATCTGCTATAGCTCTTCCCTACATAGATGATTACTTACCCTGTATTTTAGCTCTTTTACTACAGAAAGTTTGACTCCTCAAATTCAGTAAACAGTAGTACATCCAGGAGTGTAAACCAGCAGAGTTCCACTGACTTTAGAACCTCTCCTAAAATACACCAGCTGAGGACCTTAACATAACAGTGAAAAGCCAAGCAAAGAGAGAGCATTAAAAATACTCAACACAACTCTTACATACAGAAAACAAGGGACTTTTGTTCCCCTTAGCTAGTCCCAACATATCAGACTAACACATGGATTGATAAGACACGAGGAGGACTCATGTTTCTATCTCAAAGAAAAACGCAACGTAGAAGAGTTCTCTATACAACTACGGTGTCAGTGTAACAAGAAATCATGACTTTACAGTGATCCTTTTACAYTGCTGCAAGGAAATTCACAGGGAAACTGAATACTTCTCGCCAYGCTCTTTCTGTTTGTTGGCTCCTCAAACATTTATCTCCATCTCTACATTTCTTAGCACACAAAAGGCTTCTATAGTTTTGCTGAATTTGATACCCAGCAGAAAATGGTCTTTCTGTCACTGAATTTCACAACAGTTTCTGCTCAGTCAGTGTAGATTTCTCTTCCAAACACCTTTCCTTATGTTATCTGGAGAAATTAAATGAAATTACCAGGGTGAGGGTGCTCAGGACTTAAATGTATAGCAGATTTGGTATTTACTACTTTTTAAGTTAAAGGCAAAAAAAAAAAAAAAAAAAAAAAAAATTACCTGGAACATATATCCAAGGAGGGGGGGGAGGGGGGGGGGAAGGTTTGTAGAGAAGCTTCAAAATACAGCCTGATGAAAAGGTACTTCAAGAGGAACATGAAGCAATGATGATTCTCAGGGTTGAATAGTATAGTAACATAAAGCAAGAACTGTCTAAAGTCAAACTGGGTTAGATTTGGTAAAAGAGATGAAAACCATGAACTTCACAAGTAGCAGTTTTTTTAATCTTTAAAAAGAAACAAGAAAGGAAGATCTGGGGACATGAGAAATACGAAGTAAACATTTACAGTGATTGAGAAGGGAGCTCAAAAAAAGAATAAATAGGAAATAAAATCTCATTTTTCCTTAAAGATAATAATGATGAAAATAGGGATAAAATAAYGTCTTAAAGCACATACACACAAGGAAATAATCAGTACCAAAGGAAAAGAAAAAGAAAAAAAAAGGAGCTCCATATGTTCTGCATGTGCCAGTCAGAGACCAGGCAATCTACACAAGAGCCCACGGATTTAGCTTCAAGGATTTTTAATTGGTTTGGCKGTTAGGAACAGTAGCACCCCGTGATGGAAGAAAAGCATCCGTACTACCTAACTGCTAGCAGGAGATTAAAAAAAATATCTAAGTATCTACAGGCCAGTTATTCTGACCTATCCCATATGCAGGATTTTATCATCTTTTGCTGAAGGAAAAAAATAATTAAAGGGATAGAGATAAGCTGAAGACAGACTTTCCCAAAGCTAGATCTAAAATAACACAGTAGCCTTGTTTGACAAGGTAACTGCTTCCTCTCCAAAGGAATAGTAGCAGATCTCATCTATTGGGACTCCAGTAACACAGCTGATATGGTTCTGCATTGGAGATTAGTAGTCAAGATGGAAAAGAAGAGGTTAGGGTATGAATTGGAAGAACTGATAACGGGGAAAATGGAAATAGGCATTGTGGAAAAAGGAAGTATGAGGATGGAGGGAAGTTATTGGGTGGACAGTGTTGCAGGAATGTCAAAAAAMCAGCAGGAAGGTAGGAAGCATCAGGAACATGAAGGAGGATCACAGGGAGTCAAGCACATAGGGACTAATAAGGTTTGTAAAGATAAGCCAGGGGATTGTCAGAAAAAAAATACAGAACATGTCATTGGTTACTCAGTGGACAGCACCAACAGAATACATCCATATGAAAAAAAATACCATAACTCCACATTACTTTTGGTAATAGAGAGAGCCATTGAGCAGCTAGAGCAGCATATGAATTCTCCCTTGGGATAAAGTGAATAGTTTTTTTTCCAACCGTATTCACAAATGCCAGTTAAGATCAGAAGAGGTATCTAAAGGGATGATCAGAAAGGGAAAAATCTACTCCACAAAGGAAACCAGTTCAAAAAAACAGAGAAGTTTTCCACCCTAGAGAAAACAGCCACAAACTGAAGCACCAAAAGTTCCACAAGAACTTAAGGAAAAATTTCTTAACAGAAAGGGCGACAGAGCACCGGAACAGGTTGCCAAGAGGGGTTGCGATCGCCTCCTCTGGAGATCTTCCAAACCCAATTGGACACAATCCTGTGCCACATGCTCTAGGTGACCCTGCATGTGCAGGGAGGTTGGACTAGATGATCTCTAGAGGTCTCTTCCAAATATAATGATTCTATGATTCATACAAATCTTAAGAGATTAACCCTAAGGAAAGAACTACGATACACTGATGTTTATAGGCTGAACAGTGAAAAAGATTTCTAACCACTATAAAAGCAAAACTATGCAACAGCTTTTCTGTTAACAGTGATCCCCAGCTTGCTTTAAAGTGAGTTTGATAAGATAATGAAAGGGTTAATACCTGTGACAGGATAGATTCGAACTTCTTGCCATAGAAGACTCATTCCACACCTTTATTTTTACACTTCTGGCCTCTTAACTCTAATTGAATCCRCATTTCCAACTGCTGGCTTGAAATGTTTGTCCAGTAGCAATACTCTTCCAACATTTATCATTACCATCTGTTCATGAAGTGCCAAATATGTGATTACAGCTCTGCCAAAGAAAGAACATATTTAGCCTCTTCCTATCTAAACAGAATGCCCTTTCATGCTTTTATATAAGTTTCCTTCTTCCAAAAGAATCCTCAAAACACAAATCTCACGCACTGACTTACTGTGAAAAGATCTAACAATCACAGCATGCAGCACCTCTGGGGTGGAAGAGCTGTTTTAGCAGTACGCAGCAGAAATACGTGACAGAAGAGCCCACCCTACTAAACAGGGGAGCAGAATTTCTGGTGGGACTCCTCAATGGAGAGTCTGGCCAGGAGACTACAGCTGACACCAACCAGCGGTTCCACAAAGTGTCTGAAGGATCCAGGAACTTTGTTCCAGGCAACATCTAAAATAAACTCTCTCACGTCCCACACAACCAGATTATACATAAATATTGTTTAAAAAACTGATAAATGAACRTTATTTACCACCTAGGACCACTAAGGCAGAATAAGTCTCAGACTATGACAGCACAAGCAGCAAACGGATTTTGTCCTCCAGGATAACTAAAATAACACTGTACTTTTCTAGCATTACCCATCAAAAGAGCTCCAAATGCTTCACAAACACTGACAGAACAAAGAGCTGCCATCAATTGATCTACTCCTTGACATGAGTGCATACAGCCTACAATTGAAATCCTCCTAGGGTCTCAGGAGGGGGACATTGCTACCACCCTCATTTCAGAGTTGGCCTCAGAGACACTAAGGAATATATCCCAGAAATTTACACAGGACACGTATTTGAACTTGGACCCCTCAAGTCACATGCAAAAACTGTAACCACTGGACCAGCCTTCCCTTTCCCTATAAGAGGAAGAACAGACTAGACTACAACGTGCTCCGGTGACTGGGTTATTTTACTTCTCTAAACTGCGTATTTCTTTAACTAAAAGGTTCAGATTACTGCAAAGCCTGATGTTCCCTACTGTTCTGTCACAGTCCATTTCCTCCTCTCCCTCTCCTTCACTCCCAAATCCCACCACGTTTGAAAATATCGTTCATTTAGTGACACATCCCAGCCAAGCAGGGCGGCAGCTGAGTCATCCCCCTGCTGTGAGCGAGGTGTTATGGTGACAAACACCTTACAACTGCATAGTGCTTTTTTTGGGCACTGTGCTGAAGGCTGCTCGCCCCGTTCTATACAAAGGGATGGGTAGGAGGAACAAATCAGGGTGGGAGAGCTCCACACACACACAAAAGAATGAAGGGATTGGAGGTAGCCCTGCCAATCAGGTTACAACTTCAAGTACAGTCAAAAAAAAAAAAAAAAAAAAAAAAGGGGGGGGGCACCTAGAAAATCAGGCACAAAATCTAAAAAAAAAAAATAAAAAATAAAGAAGCATGAGTCAGAGACTCATTTGGGTTGACATTCTGCTACTGCCTACTATAGACACTGAATTAAGGCAATCTGCATTATCTCTTGAAGCAACTACATCCCTTCACAGACCATGTAAGGATACTGGGACGCAATCTCACCTCTTTAGCATTGATGACAGGTAGAAAGCTTCTTTTTCCACCACCACAGATGCTAGCTCTTGCAACTCAACGTGGTTCACCTTCTTCAGAGGTGTGCTAATAGCACTGCTCATAGTGATGCTGTGGAAAMCGGACTACTCAAAATATCCAAATTAAAAATGGCCTTTTGTGAAGTCAAAAAGGCACAGAAACACCATTAGAAAGCCTCACTTTAAAGAAAATAGCCTTCACCTTAGAACCAGTTTCCCAGAAACTGGATCCAGTTGTCAATTGTTTTCCCCAAAGTTTCTTTTTGTCTGTGCTCCCATACTCATGGGAAAACACTTTATAACACACATTGCATACAGTTTAGGATAATTACTACTGCCTACAGAGTGATGCAGCAGTCAGGAAGCAAGGCAGACTCAGACTGCTTGGTCTACGCTGGATTTTGAAGTACGCATTAAAAAAAAAAAACTTTCATACAGGTGACAGCATGTCACCTATAATGTTCCACATACGGTACTTATTACACAGGACATCACCTGTGCAACACAAGTTACCATTTTACCTTGGAAGCCATGGACTTGGGGTGCTATTGCACAAGAAAGGCATCTTTATAACCTGTATTAGTTTTGTTCAACTTCCACTAAAGGCACAACAGCTTACAAACAAGTATCTAACACGCGTTTCCACCTCTCTAACTGGTCTTCTTCAAAAAAATACCCTTCCTCATAAATCTCAGTCCCACAGCACTCTGGTTCTGTTAGGATGGTGAGAAGATACAAAAAGGTCCTACCTGTTTTGGGGGATCAGTATCTGCAACTCACTCTTTGATGAAAATTTCCCCACAGCACAAACGGCAGAGCAGCAGTATTCTTCAGTTCTCCTCTCCTAGYATCTCCTTGAGGTGAACAACGCTGCAGGGAGAAAAGAGGGAGGGAGGTTAGGTTCCTGAAGACATCTTTCATTCTGGAGAACAAAGCACCTTGCCCTTTCAATTTAAATCCTGCCTCCGTGTAAACCCTGACAACCAAAAACCTCTGTTTTGTCCCATACCCTGAATCAAGCAGAGTTACTTGATCCTAGCCTTCACCTTTCAGTGACAGGGAATATCAGCCATAAAATAAATATAGATCCCATAAACACACAGCTCAGCTCAACAATTAGTTTGAAAAGTACCCAGGCATAATGAGGAAGAGTCTCACAGAAAACCAGCATGGACTATATTTCTGCCAGGAATGTTGTCATCTCCTAGCACTGAAAGTTTTCTAGGAAGCAATTCCTAATAAAGCTCAGGCACTAGCAGTCTGAGCTTTGGGAATGAAYAGTGCTGTCCCCATACCAATGCAGTGCAGGAAAATCACTTAAAGAATCACAACACGACTAGGTTCAACAAGCAGCCGCACATCACGCTCATACCACTGCTGCACGTACATCTGTTTGCCTTGCACAGAGAGGAGATAAAAACACTGCACAGGTGCCCAAAGACTTGTCACTAGTTTAAATAACATGCCTATACTCCATAGTGGTACCTCTAGAAYGATTATGGTGTTTTCTTTATTAGTAGAAAAATACAGTGACCTATGCCATCAAAAACCTGAAAACTAACAAAACTAAAAAAGCTGAAGACCTAGCTCCTTCTCTCTGAGTGAGGACAGATTTGTTTCTGAAGCCTAGCCTCAGCAGAATAAAAAAAAAATCAGCTATTTCTGTCTGCTTCCTAATTCTCTKATAAGTGTTTTACATTGTTCACAAATCCGGCAGTTAGGTTTTCTGGATTTGAAGTTACAGTTACATACAAAATACTGCCCAGATAGTGTGGTATTTAGCTAAGCAAAGAAATAAAAGTATAACTTATAGTATATAGTAATCTTCTCRTGTATGTATTTGCACCTGCTTTCTCTGAATTAGAAAATGCATATAAAGATAACAGTTCCAGATGGCATAATGATGTTCCAAAATATTTTCTGAAAAAWTCTGGAAATATTTAAATTTTTGCTTCACTCTATGCAATGCAAGATGCACTTCTTCCCRCTAATAGGTCCAATAAGATATTGAACTTTTTACTAGCAGTGCTAGAGATGCTCTGAAGATTGACAGGAGGCTCTCTGTATTCTGTTAGAGACCATCACTTAGAGACACTTATAATAGCACAATAACAAAAGATCCTCATCATATAAAATTAAATTCAGGCTTATTCCCCTCTTCTATATCCTACTCTAAGTTAGCTCAGAATCAATTTTAAAAGCTTTTAGAGCAAACCCTCCCCTGGAATCCTTTATAGGCCAGCTCTTACAACTCCTGTTCAGCAATTTGCACTGTAGAAACCTCTCTAAGTATCTGCAATGGGTTTGACCTCATAGCAGCCTTGCATCATCTTTGTCCAGTTCACTCCAAGGTGGAGGGGACTTGGGAGAAATAAACAAACTGAACAAAACAGCAGCAACRGGAACAGGTACAACAGCAGAAAGGGAGAGTTCAGCACACTGCAGAGCTTTCCTGCTGGAACAGTTGTCTTAATGCACRCTAGTAGTGTTGTCTTCACGGCACACAATCAGCTGCCCCTCGCATATCTCCTAACTGCACAAAATGGAAATGAACCACCATTCACAMGTTAGCCCCTTCCTCACCTTTCGCTGAAGTCCCTGGAAAGAATCAGTAAGAACAATTGAAACTTAAACAATGTGACATATATTCCCAAAGATTAAAAATTACATTTCATTCACTGAAACAATGTTAACTAAGGGTTAACATAAGTAGTAAAAGAAATAAAGCTTGACTGCCTCTAGCTCTCAAGAGCAGGCAGGCAACCTTGGCAAGACAACRGTGATGGCAGAGCAATGAAGAGAGATCCACAGCAAAGCTAATTGCCTTATCAAGCTTGCGGTAGACCACAGTGTAATCATGAATCCAGCACGCTGTGTGAGCTGCTGCGACTTAGCTAAAAACAGTCRCTTAATTCCACGCATAGCAGTGCACTTAGGACTGCAGAGAACAGAACATGTTGGTAAGCATCAAAGCAGCAACTGTTCCAACATTCAGGTTCCTCTGAAGCCAGAATACCAGTCCTGAAGGCCTACCCTGAGACAGCCACACAACTATGGGCATCCAGATGTCACCTCCTAGATAGGGAGTCACAACTACAAACTTCCAAAGCAAAGATAAATACACCTGTACACTCATCCCCAACAGCAGTGCATAGTAAAAGCATCAAATTGTCTCCATCCTGAAGTYTTTTGTTCAGGACTGAAGCAGCCGAAAGCTGGACCACCCTCCTATAACACTTGAGAGAGCTCCCTGGTGTGCACAGACAAAATGCCTACATGTGKCAGCAAAAGTGGCTTGTCCCTGCAGCCCCTTAATACTGCAAAATATTTCTGAAAAGCCATTAGCTTCCAAACAGAACTTGCTAGATGCCCCACGCCGGTTACACTGCAATCCTCAATTCTCAGCGCACAGCATCAGCCTTCAGGCAACCTTTTTAAGAGGCTTCTTGATTTTCAACTCTTGTTTCATATCACAAGTTTAGTTACTTCTGATTAAATTCATTCTGTTGTACCCTCCTTCATCCTTGCTCCTTCCTTCATCAAGACAGTTTGTAAAGGAATTATTCCCCTTTTTTCTTTCTTTTTCCTATTTCTGTATCATTACTGCAAACAGGATTTTTGTTCTTGACATGAGAGAAGTAAAACGRGGCTTTCTTTCTAAGACAGATTTCTGGCTGATTACACAGAACACAAGCAGCAGATAAGTAGCTTTAGCACATCATCATTCTGCTTCTTTGGTCTGCARAGCAACATAAATATGTTAATACTCCCAGATCGGTGGCACTCTTCATGCCACTGAGCTCCACTGACTGAGCAGCACACACATTTGCACATGGATCCCTGCTCCCCTTTCCCTGGCATGCGAACACAGCACCAACAACACTGCTCACAAGCCGCTCTATCTGCACCCTGCCCTACGGTGAAGCTCACAGGATGGCGCTGCAAGGTGCTGCGGCGGCCTCGGAGCCTCGCCAGCCGTCAGGAAGCATCGAGGCCTTGGCATGGCTCCCTGCCCCTGCCAAAACGGGCCCCAGGAGGCACCCGCCACAGGGACATGGCCACTGCGGAGGACTTCAAACAAGGGCATGGCCATTGGCAGCAGGGGAGGCCGTTCAAATGGGAGAGCGACCGTTGGAGCGCAGTTCAAACGGGAGTGTCGTAGCGACCGTTGGGGCGCAGTTCAAACAGGGGAGTGACCGTTGGTGGGCGGGGTGGTGCTAGGGAGGGCAGTTGAAACAGGGGAGCGACCAGTGGTTGGACAGTCCAACAGCTCAAACAGGAGCACGACCGTTGCTGGGCGCGGTGGGGATGTGACCGTTGGTGCAGTATTTAAACAGATGCACGGCCGTTGGGGCGTGTGGGGACAGTTCAAAGGGCAGCACAGGTTACAATTTTRAAATTGTCATGAAGTGTCAACAAGTAATTTATCTTCTGGAAGAAAATTCAGTTAAGTGCGTGAGTCACTTACTAAACTGTAGTTGCATGTGGACCTCCATTTCTGTTCTAGATCATTAGATTTTCATGCCCCACCACCATTTTGCTTGTAGACCTGCAACTGCTAAGCGCATAAGCAGCTGCTTATGTTCCTAAACTAATATTAAGATCCACAGCATGGCAAAAGGATACACACAGCTGCTGGTTTGCTACCCCCTGGTAACACCTGTTTAATATCCCTCTGGTATCCAGACTATTGATACCTTCAATAATCAACTTCCACAGAATAATATACATTGTCTTTGCTATGTGCTTCCTTTCAAAAGCTGAAATCAATCCCATCTATAAACCATCACATCCTAGCATGAGAAGACTCTGGAACAGCACACCATGAAAATAGATCAATATTGACTGACCAGGTCATGTGTTTATCAAGGTTCCACTGATCTGTTTAATGCAATTAGGCTGCTTAGCAGATCCCTAAAAGGCAGAGTTACACAGCCTTTCACAGGTAACGGCAGCAGAAGCCTGTAGACTAAACACAGCCTTGCTGAGCAAACAATGTTTCTGGATTTCTAAAAGCAGAGGCAACTTTACTCTCAGTACAAATCCATCACAGCCAGTAGTGCTGCATCCAGTATGGAATTATTCTGCCAGTGCACAGTACCAGTGAAGAGCTCCAACATAAATATTAGTGTATAGCCTGTAGCCTTCCCYCTGTGCTTGGTTTCCAATCATCATCTGAAAAACCATTGCTCTCTGTGTGCTCTGTTCAGCTTCAGCAAAACTCACAGCTGCTGTAGGGTCCTGCCTCCTGTGGCTGCACTACCACAGCTGCAGAGGTAGCTCATCAAATGCTGTGTTCTGAGAGGGCAAGAAGCTATATGCACTTGTCACAGCCAAGAGATCATTCTTATATGAAAGAAATGAGTAGCATGTCTCCAGGGTGCAATCACAAAAGCTTCAGCTTTTGCCATCAAGTAGTAGTGCTTGCTTTCCACTGGGTACATGGCAGGAAGTAGGACTGTTCACCACTGGATTAAACACCCTTTATTTTTGAGTTGGAAGTGACTTGTCCTCTGAATCTTTTGTAGCATGTAATTTCCAAGATGCACCAAAAACACAGTTCAGAAGATATTTACMTGGAGGACAATAAGCAGCAAGTGCTGGATCCATGAACAGATCTCCATGATGAGCTATATGCATATGCAGCCCCTGGCAGCAAAGAGCAGGCCCAGCACGGGCTGGGAATAAGGGCCTTTTCAAACAGGAGCATTGTTTCCCCGGGCTCAAAAGTAGTGTCTGATATTCCRGCAGTGTCATTCCAAATCGAGCCCCAGGGCCAAATCAGAGTGAAACAGTGAAGCAGAACTGGTATTTCTAGGCAGGGTACAGGCTGGTGGCAGGTGGAAGGACACTCAGTGCCAAACAAAACA